CAGAAGTTCGAGTAATCGTTCGGGTGTGACGTCATTTCGGTTCGGTTCGAAACCAAACCGAAATGCGACAGCTGACGTTCCATTCGGGTGTTGTAAATAAAAATTAAAAGAAATCGGTCGACAACCGAGTTATTGTAAAGGTCTGAATCGACCCCCTGTCCCTAAATCCAGCAATCTCTGGCTAGCCATCCAAGAACGCGTCAAGGTCATTTCCCGTCATGTGGCGCCCACTGAGTGCCCAAAATAAATACCTAACTCTCTAGGTGAATATGTGCAAGCAATTATTATCATATTGTTCAATAACAATTGAGACACTGGATGTCCTTTTCCCAGCGATATAAACGCGATGCAAACACGAGGCAGTAGCGCTGCACTCGCTAATCGTCTACCTTTACACACACAAGCGCGCGACTGCATCGATACAAATGCGCGTTTGCATCGCTATATTTGGGATTTATAAGCGATTGCATGACTGAGACTGGTAGAGTTTCTCAGTTATACAACGCAACACTAATTCAGCAGCTTTTTATAATGTTTTCGATAACTTTGACTGATTTTTATAGATTATTAGGACTGTTTACACTGGCATCTATGATCTTGAGGTAGTCAGCTGAACGTCGAAATTTATGCAGCACAGTTCTGATGTCCTCTTTATACAGTTTCAAAGCCTCAAGCTCCACATCGTACTTCCGATTAGACCGCGATGTGGTGATTGCTGAAATTACAAGACATCTTAGCGTACATGCAATTATATTATATTTAAATTTATTTTAGAAGAACTTAGAACAGTTGCTTCTGCATTGAGATTAAAGCTTCGAACTAAAATCTCATTTACGTAAATTTTTTAATGCTTAGTAATAATGGTACAGGGAAATATCATGATGAAACCTGCATCTTGAAGAACGTTCACAACCCTTGAAAAAGTCCCCTAACCTGCATTAGGGTAGGTGGCGGACCTTTATAATTTATTACCTTATGGCGAGTCACTAGATCAAATGTTTTTTTATTATTTATTTATTATTAAATAACTGTCTTACAAAAAATATACAATATACTTAAGGATATTGTCTATAGAATGTGCTAATTTGTTACACGATAGAATGTACTTTAGCAGATCATAAAAAATCCTCGAAATTAAAATCTTAAACGAATTATTTAAGAATAAAATATCTAACTTTGTGCATCATTTTTATATGGAGATATTCTTTTTAAGTACTACTCGAATCTGGGGTGGTCCCCACACCTCACCTTCTAAAACGGAGGTTCGCGATGAAATTCCTCGCCTTAACCTTTTACTTAAACCACGATTTACATCTTTTTTATTTAAGTACTTAAGTTACCGAAAACCAAAACACGGCAGCCCTCTTCAATTTCCTTTTATTTTTGAGGTTTCACTTTACCGCCAAGTTTAAAAGCCCTAAGGTTGCTAAATTTTAGAAAACTAATCTAACTCTATAAAATGTTAAATGAGAAAAACACCTGCGCTTTGTATAGGCAACAATATGAAAGCAAGTAATTAATTCTACATGATAGACATCCTGAAATCGATTGATACTCCACAGTGTTTGAAGACCCTCTTATCCAACCAACATGGGGAGGGTGGGATAAGGTTGAACAGTACTTCAGAGCACTCGCCATGGTACATGCGACAAAAGGCACTAAATGACGCCACGTCTCTACGCAGTTGTAGAGGTTCAAAGTGCGAGGAGACCCCCTCATCGCCAATGACTCGTGTGTGAGATGGGTGGACGTCGTCGTCGTCGTCGTGCGGAGGTTTCCGGAAAGTTCCGTAGATGGGTGAGACTAGCACAGGATCGTGGTGGGTGGCACAAACTACGAGAGGCCTATACCCAGTTGGGAAGTCAGGATACCGATTATGATAGACATAATTACAAAAATTTGTCGGTTTGTCATCATCAACCCTAATCACCTATACGTCCCATCTGCTGGCTACGAGTGTCCTCTCAGGCGAGGGTTTAGGCCATACTCCGCCACACTGGACCAAAACTTCCACGTTTTCCCCAAGGGTGTCAACCTTCTTCACCGAAAAGCTCATGGTCAATTTCAAATCAAATTTCGCACATAAATTCGTAAATACTCAGCAGTGCGAGGCCAGATTAAAATCCACGGCCTCTGCTTGAGAAACAGTAGGTCAAACTATTAGGTTAACACGGCTTAATGTCAATTTTTAACCGACTTCAAAAAAGGAGGAGGTTCTCAATTCGACTGTATGTGCTTTTTTTTCTTTTTTTTTTGTATGTATGTTACGCGATAACTCCGGTATTTGTGAACCGACTTTCATGATTCTTTTTTGTTGGAAAGGGGGTACCTCCATAGTGGTCCCATTTCATTTTGAAGAAAATCATCCACCTCTAAAGGTGGCTGTTCTCGCGAGAGGATTCATTTTTATAAATAGCGCCTAAATTTCATTATAAGGAGCAATTATTTTAATGGTTGATTTTGCTATTCTCCAATTCAAGGCGGTTTTCTCTCAATATTGAGTAGTGAGAACCGATTTTTTTTATTTCCAGTGTCAAGCCCTGTATAGTGGCGAACTAGGGGATATTTCAATATAACTTAGCAAATAGACGTAATTCCACGTACTTTTGAGGTCGGTTTTTTTAGTACTGAGATTATTAAATTTCATTATCAATGAAGCTATTCATTGTGTTGATTTTACATGAAAGGATAATTACTTGCGACAAAAACTGTAATACTCACCACATAAAATACAACACAACCACAGCCAACCTCTCGCGACATTCTCCATTTTTGCTTTATCGATGTCACTGCATTTGTAAATTATAGGAATTTTATTGACGCTAGAATTTTATGAACTCGCTTTTCAATTTCCTACGCATTATTATTATGTTTTATATTAAAGTTACATAAAGAAATACTTACTTACATGCAAATATGTTTTTTTTATTTATCCATATACCCCGTGCAGACGGAATGTTATGTAATTTGTTTGAAAGCTATTATGCCAAATCATTACGGTCACAACTGCGCTCCGATTGGCTAGCCAGAATTCGTAACAATTGACGGGTGTCGTCAATAGTTTCACTTCAAATCGACCAGTTTAACTTGAGCTTTTTTTGAAAAACCTACTGACCTACTGCATTTCAACTTGGGGTGGGGCTGCTAAGAGTCGTTTTAGAGTTCGTTGTAGAGAGAGCACAAAGAGCTGTCCTAAAGGTTGCCTGCTTCAAGCCCTACCAGTTACCAACAAGTGAACTTTACGCTTACTGTCAGGTCCTCACTGTTCGACAGCTATTCATTCTCTGGATTGTGTTGAAGCAACATTCCCTCACACCCTATGACAGTGCCTCTAATAGACGACACTGCTAAGTGGTTTCTTGCGACCTTTTCAGGACTGCATTCAGTCATGGATTCTTCTGCTTCCTGGGATGTTTTCTATACAATAGATTGCATCGCAAACTTAACATCATTGGTTTAAATAAATTTTAATGTAAAAAGACGTTGGCCAATTGGTTGCAAAAGTTAAATTATGAGGATACTGAAGCTACACTGCATCCAATAGTGTGACTCAAGGTTTTGCTGATCTGTAGGATTACCATATATTTATACGTGCATATACACGCGCACGCAGGCATACACACACACACACACACACACACACACACACACACACACACACACA